TCTCATGCGCGTATTTTCTAAACCGAATCCAACTGATGCGCCGTCCGATCGTGACTTTATCACGTCCGATTGAAAGTGACTTCGCCTTTAACGAAGCGGAATGTAATTGCGTTATCGATTTGCAGTGCACGGCGATGCAATTTCACGTTGCGCCGGGGACACTGGAAAGCGTCATGAAAAGCCGCAAAAATGAGGTAGAGCTTTTCCATCAGCAAGAGAATCTCGTCAAAGGAAAGTGTATCGACGTCGATTAACCACGCGAGATGATATTTCCCGCGTCGTACTCGTCAAATTAACGTCGCATTGCGGCACGGCGAAACAATTTTCCCCCCCTTTCTTCGTTAAGAGTCCAGTTAAATAACGTTCCGTAGCTTCCCAATCACTGGCGAGGACCTTCGAAACTCGCGCGTTTGAGAATTTGTGACACTCGATCGCGAGACGCGTTTCTTTTCCCGCGAGAATACGCCGCCTCTCACGCAAAAGGTCCTCACGACGTAGAGGAAGGACACGTACTGAAAGGAGGCTCGTAACAGATGTGGTGTGCTGTTAAGCATCCGTGCATGACATCGGGGCAGGTGAGTTCGAATTTCGTTAGACTCAGGGGCGTATTACGAGCTCGACGGGTTTTCGCCTGCGTATGTAAAATATCCCGTCTAAAACGTTTACATTTTTACGTTTACTTTGCGCGACGTAATGCCATTTTCGTACAGTCGATCTCGAGTATCCTTACGATAAAATAACAACACTACGCTCCCTTTCGGTGCTCTCTCGGCAAAGGACTCCTCCGTATTTAAACTGCAATAACCGCGGTGAAATAAAGATACGTGGGAAATGTAGTAAATACGCGGGAAATTAAATAAATATGTGGTTTCAAAGATCTACGTAATATTTATACTTTGCGGTATAAATAATTCCTTGATATTTAAAGCAAAGCAAGGAAGATAAATATCAACATTTTATATCAATTCCGGTATCCTTTGTGCTGTTTGATTTTAATACTTCCTGCTCCTCAAGTATTTCGATTTTATTGAATTTGTATTGCAATATATATTACTTTTCCAAGAACGTAAAAAATCAAATTGAAAACCTAATTTTACTTTGCACATATATATATTCCCGGGGAAAAGTGACGGAAGCTCCTTGATTTATTACCGTTATTATGAAAATCGCGTTCTTTACATTATTACAGTGCAAGTTTTGCACAATGTGTATTTAATTTTAAAATATTTTCGCAATAACAATTATTCATTCATGTTCGACTTTTATTAGGAACTTTCACGTCAGCGGTATAAAAATAACCGCACCGTAGGCGCAAATTACATATTATTATTTAGTAACATACCACTTTTATTATTGCATTCTCTCGAGAAACTTTCATCGAGCTTCGTAAAAGAACTACCAGCGCAACAAAATTTCACCCACTTCCGACGTGCAGTTTTATGCATCGTGCGAATTACAAAAAAAACCCCCCTCGTTATCACGTGTCTCTTTTTAGATATAACTTTGGCTTCGCAATCCTTTATCGGCGCGTCAATCAGAAGCAACGACGACTATCGCGAACGCCTATCGTTCTCCTTCGCCGCTGTTCCAAGAAATACAGAATTATCGGGACACCCGTTGCATCGGTACTCGCTTCGCAGGTGCCGCCCTTTTCCGGAGTGTTTTTCTCACACAGTACAGCGGGCAGAAGGGTGAGCAGCGAACGAACTCGTAACGGAAACTTTCCGAGTGCTCGTAACTCGATGCAAAATTTGAAAAGAGCGGAAGTAGGACAATCACGACGGGTGGAACAATTGAGGGGGGGGGGGGAGATCTCCGTGATTTCCGAGCATCCTAAGCTCTCTCGTACGTAAGACCTCTCGTACGTGTATGCGAGCGAGCGGATAATTGAGAAACGAACTTCGCGCCGCGCCGAGAGCCGAGAGATGTAATTGAGAATAGGGCCGAGTAGGAAATCTGGTCGATGGCGAGCAACTATAAAATACCGCGACGTTGGCACGGGCCGGGGAGAAAGAAAGACTGTCGGTTCTTTTTATTATTCTTCCTTGTCTCGCATTGCTGACAGTGCGGAATGAAGAGGGCCCGCCATGCATACAGATCATTCTCGGATTCTGAATAATCCAACCTGGCTCGGCTAAAGTAGGACTACGCGACGTAAATTTATGGGAAAGGGGAGAGACAGGCGGATAAAAAGTGGCGAGAAGGAGTCCATTTATAACGAAAAAAATTTAGAAAACGCTACGTAAATTTTCGCAGCGAGAAAAATTATTAAGGAATACGATTTTCATCTGAGCGCCTTTAAGACACTTTTCACAGACCGGCATTACTGAGAAGGAATTTAATTAAAGACTTAATTAAAATTATGGCAAGAAACCGAAGAAAATATGTTTATGAAAATTGCAATTGTGGTATATGCACCGGAGTAGTTCGTATAATTTAATTTGGGTCAGGTGAGGGAGAAAAAACTAATTTCAAGGAAAATCTGGGGGAATCTCATTTCCGCCTGTCACTTCCGATCATGATTCTCCGATGGTCGTGTTCAATACATTTACATAATGCAATCTTATGGATGTGGTTTGTGCAATCGATGCATAATATTAAGCCTCGTAACTTGACGGTAATTGCTGTTTTCATCAAGAGGTTGGTGTCGAAAAGACATCCTTTTTCTTCATTCCCTTCGCCCTTTTTGCCTGTTATACACACAAACACGCGCCACGCTCCCTTTCTATCTCCCTCTCTCTTAGAAAAAGCTTAGTGTTATATTAAAAAATGGGAAATGAGTGCCGTTATAAAATTGAAACGATTACGGTATTTAATATTGACTTGGAAATTAATTTTTAAGTAATAACTGATAACGTGAATGCATAATATTACAGATTTAATTAAATTTAATTCAAAGATATTTCTCATTGTTAATTAAATCAGTGATGCATCATTCGCCACATCGGAATTATTGTTTATTACGTCCTTATTAACATGCTAGTTCGGCGCATTATTAAGAGTAAATTATTTCGTATTAATTAATTTAGTTCACGTCTATTCCAGACGCGCAGAGAAAATATTGCAAATCATAAAATGCAGAGCGATACAATAGAACACTTCGTGTCGCGTGAATTATTAAGAAGCCCAGGCGTAAAGTGACCAAGTCGAACTAGCGACGAGAGGCAGCTGGACGTCGATATGCATAAGAGACGTCGAGATCGTTTAATTAAGTTACGAAAGAATAGCCCAGTCTATCTATTCTTGTCATTTACTTCTATACACGTGCTTTCGCCCGGCTCGCGAATCAACACGTTGTACCCAATCACTTTCCTCAGTTTACTCGTAGCTCGTCGCACGGACTGCCGTTTTAAATTCTTTCGTGACGCCGCGGCACGTTCGGGAACCAGCGACGGGTTGCCAAATCGCCAACATCTGTCTTCTACTTTTAGCCGAAGTCGAAATAATGTTCGCGGGAGAGCGCGGACCCTCTCCGCGAAAGTGAAAGTAAATCGTCTCTAGGGACGAGCGGTGTGTCTTGCGTAATCGATTGGAAGTTATGATCCCTCGGATCGGCCATTCATCTTTCGATATCACACGATTCGAATAAATAGTTCAGCAACAGCGTGAAACGATACGTTCGAATCTGCCATTTTCAAATCCTTGTTACAAGTTATATATAGTCAAGACGAGCAACTTTTGTTTATGTTAGAACATTACAAAGTGCACCGTTCATTCTCCAACGTTGTGCATAAATACATTAACTGCGATTGACACGAGCATATTTTTGTTTCCCAAAAACATATTAGAGTTGCAAATAGTGAATTTCTCTTTTATTGCAATTATGAGCGTTCTTTATGTCGCGCACGTGGAAATAAATTTGAAATGTATGTGTCGAATTAAAATATGAAATTATTTCCCTTGAAAAATATTTAGTATCTGACGTGTTTTATCTTGATAAAAAGTTCGTCCGGGAAATGCACGGAATAACAACTTGACATCTGTCAAAATACATATTCAGCGCAGACAAAGCTACTCTCGCAGCCCGAGGTGAGCGAAGCGAGAGGACCCCATCGATCGATCGGAAAAGCGGCAATAATAAGCCTCTTACATGCTCTTTTAAAAGTGGTTAAATGATGCTGCGCGCGTAAGGCGAGACACACGTAATAAAGCCTTGGTGGAAAGCATTAATTGTGTCAGTTAGCGTGGCGTCATCGGTCCAAGATCCCCAAGGCGGTCTCGGAGCGGTCTATCGGAGCGTAATTCGATCGCTGCCCCCTCGCTAAAACTACCGCTCGCAATTCGCCGAGTAATCTGATCGACCGGCGCGGTGCGGCGCGGCGCGGCGCGGCGGGCATTCGTCTCGTCTCGAGGTCTCCTCGTTAAAACTCACCGGCGGCGGCGCCGTTGTACGTCGTTGCACCGAATGTAGAAACCGGTTTACACCGCGCGACGATTCCTGATGCATTCGTTGATGCGGGGTCCGCGAGGTCCTCCACCTCTCCGGGCGCGCGGCTCTCCCTCGCTCAAAGCCCGCCTCGCCCCTCGTGCATTTTCATCGGGCGGCTCCGTCGTGGACGAGTCTCACGAGGATCTCGACGATCCTCCAAGCCGGCCATGGTCGCCACGCGATGTCGGCCGGTCGGAGAATCCAACGAGCGAGTATCGGCGAACGGATATACGGTGGGCGTTGAAACCCGTTCGATTCCGCTCTCGGAGCTCCTCAAGGCCGGAAATCCTCCAGATTTGACAAATGTCACGGCGCACCCTCTTTTAAATTCTGTCCCCTTTTATTCGGGAAAACGCCGTCCGCTTTCACGTCTCTCACGTGTCACCGTTGACTTCCTCACCGTTAACGAAATCGCTTCCTCGTTAATCGCATTTTGTTTCACTCACTTGGTCAATCGACCGCACGACCGGGCTTCCGAGAACGATTTCACTTGGTTATCGTCGGCTGCCATTAGAACATTTATTCCATTCTTTTCTCCGTGTATAATGAATTATCGTTTGATAACTTACAGAACTACGAGGAGGACGAGAGGGAAGGGACGCGAAAATGATTGAATCTGGACCGATTGTTGCCGCCGGCTTGACTTTCTAGTCGCGATTTAAAGGTGCCGAGATACGAGCGCGCGTGGGGCACGCGTGGAGCCTGTCAACACGCGTGACAACTGGCCTTCTTTGTTCACCATCGCGTTCACCGTTCCTCGGCAGGAGCGCCGAGTGCGCAGAAGCGATCGCCGCGGACTGCACAGGTCGCTCAGACCTGCGACTCACGATGGCGAACGCCTTCCTCTTCCTTCGTCAGATCTGGAGGACGTAAACAAAGCGCGGGAGACGATTGGCTGAGGAGGGCGACCTGTCTGGCCCAGGTACCAGGTACTACATCGCCCGTCTCTCGCCTCAGGTGTACACGGCTTCCGGTTTCAACGCTTCCAGGCGCAACCGAGCACCGCTGTGCGCGAGGCTGTAATAGGGATCACCATTCCGCAGGCTGCGCTACTTCTGTCGGATAAGCTTACTGGATGGAGCACCGTTCGTGCGGAAAATTATTAAACCGATTATTTTACCAATTATTTCAACCTGTCGCTCCCGCCACAACCGGGTAGCTATGTAGTTGAGATTATAGAGTAAAATATTACGGCATCTATATTTTAATATCTGCGAATATATGTATTAGTTCCCTTTAGTTTTATACGTACGGATGATTATCAAGACTTTAGACAGCACACGTATCTGGGTGTATATTTAAAACTTTTCGAGAGGTAAAATAAGGTACCTTTCATTCGTGGCAATTTGAGAATTATTACAAATATCATAAGAATTTGGAAAGTTATTTTTCTTGAAATGTTTCCGGTGAACTTACTGATCAAAAGGATTTTTCATTGTGTACAGTAACTTTGCAACAGCAATGCAAGTTAATACACGCACTGTAAAGTTACTGTACAAAGCAATGATATGCAATGACAAAGTAGTCAAAGAATTTAAAAAAATTTGTAAAACGTAAACATTTTTTCGTGAATTGTTTACTTGTTAGGTAACAGAGATGCAAATAAATATTTTTGTACAAATGATCTGAGAATTAAAGGATTCAAATATTGCTGCGCGATAACAAATCTTATGAAAGATCAGGAATTTCAGGATTAAATTCAAAGTTTAATTCAAAGTTACGATTTTCCGTAACAAAGTAAAACTACTTTTGAAATGGTGTCTGACCGACAAAAGGTTTTTTCTATGTCCGTTTTAAATAATCTGTAATTTGTATTAGAATTCAGAATAAAACGCTTTCTATAATTCCATGTGCCGCATATGACACGGAAAACATATTAAGAATTGGAAATATGTATGTAAACTGTATATTAAGAAGATACACACATATATGTGTGTGTGTGTGTTAAAATGCGTACATGAAATTAAAAATGCAATTCTATGCCGAATTCTAAAATGTAGGTCGTCTAAAATGGACGACAGTAGCATAAGAAAATTGCAATTTATATTGCTCATATCATTCATACACTGTGTACGGGACAATATATTATACGTAGCATATAATTATGAATGCAAGTTAATCCGGATATTATCATATCCCTCGACAAGTATCGTTGAAATTGATTGAAGTTGCAATAGGCACATTTCAATATCCTGAACAATTTATCATGCTTAATTTCATGTATGTACATATACAATATAATTGTGAAAGAGATTTAGGTGGATTCGTTGAAATAATATAGTCAAAAATAAAAAAAATAAAATGTGACCCTTTTTTTAAATTCGAAGAAAGAATCAATTCATTTCCAATAGTTTATGAAGAAAATTTGATGCCGAACACAATTCCTGTTCCCAAAAGGTTCTATTTGAATTTTGAGAGAAAATTGAGATTAAAATTAATATAACCAGAGAATATTTCCATACATTTCACAGCGCAATATCTGCTGTGCTATATGATACGTGTTGAAAAAAAATTGATTTTATTTAAAACTAAAAAATGCATTTTTAAAGCTTTATAAAAAAAGAATTTTGTAAAGATTAAGATTAATACAGCAGATTTTTTCGCGACTAAATAGTGGGTCTGTTACATTATGAAAAATTGTAATTAAATTATTGAAAGTTAAGAGCAATAGTTTTCTCTCGATTACTCATTCACTACAAGAATTACTCAGGTTATTGAATTCCAAGTTCATATAAAAGTAATGTATTCAGAAGTAATAAAATTAGTACGGTGAAGATAAAAATTAATTTCTTTCTAAAGATTTGTTACTTTTCAGAATATAAATCCAATGATAAAATGGACGAATACAATAGCAGATCTAATATTCAATAGATTGCTCGTAGTCCTTGATAGCTTAATTTGCAACTTTCCCCTCGGTGTACCTAATAGATCCAATATTTGATCACGAAAATCTTATTACCTCTAGCCTTCGTAACAAATTCCTTTTGAAGGTTGAAAGTTCTAAGTTCATATTTAGTTTCGCCTGAAATATATACACGCGCGTGCTGTGCGGATGTTTTCTTGAGAGAGGGAGATATATAATATATACATATATATATCAAGAAAATTTTAGAAACTCCATAGAAGCCTGTTACATTCGATATTTCACACAAGTAAAATTCTATATCGTCTCTATTGCACGATGTTCAATAGAAAAGTTCTAAAGAAACGAAAGAATAATTATTCCCCTTGCAGTTTCCTTGACTCTTAATATTATTCTATTTTTATGCTTCATCGCGTTTTAATTCTGAGAAATTTGAGATGATTAAGTTATAAATACAAAGCAAAATATATGATCTAATAATATAATTATAATTGCAGACTTAATGAAAGATTATTATAAAAAGTTTTAACGTTATTCAATGTTATTTTAACGTGACTTTGCCGCAGAAAGTAAATTTATATTAGCATTCGATAAAAACGAAAGGCTGCAGATGTCTTATTGGATACGACAGTTTCTATCTTACTCATCTCATAGTTTGCGAAAATCTCTTCAAAATGGCAAATTTCTCCAATTTTCCGAGGTAATTATGAATGTGGTAACCATAACAGATACTATCCGCACGAGTATTCAGAATCTCGATAACAATGTCGTTCTTGCAATTTAACTTTAAGCCACAGGCAGTCCCCGGCGACTCGAAACTTTCTATCATGGGCTTATCCCCCGAGCGGAACGTTGTCGAGAAACACTTTTCATAAATGGTGGTTATAGGCAAACTTGTCTCGTTAAACCAAACAGTATTGTCCCTCCGAAAGTGGAGAAGGATTGAATGTTTGACGCCGCCCTTTAAGAAGAGCATCTTGTTACCGCGTGTTTATATTTATTTTATTTTATAAAGGCTTAAAATTTAATATTTACTGCGACACTTGAAAACGCACGACGCCGCCCGTTTTACGATGGGCCCGGATATTACTGTCATTGGCAATAAAAAAACGGAAAGATAAATCAAAATCCACTTTGCGAGTTTGCAAGTAAAGGTCGTTAAACGGGTCAAGCCTCCCCTCCGTGGCTGACGTACCTGTATTTAACCCATATTGCATAGCCACTTTTATAGACAAGTATTAAAAAAAGTGATGTCTACGATGTCATAAAATATCCTTTGTCCTCTTGACGACATGTCGTAAAGTTATCTATATTACGCGCTCGCAACCGTTGCTCGTACCCTTGTGTTTTATAGAACATTCTCAGCTCATTCGCACGCGCATGCGTGTGCCCCAACAAACATTATCAGCGCTCTGTGTGTAAATTATATGTAGAAAATGTAAATAAATAATATTTGCTATAATAAGTGTGTATTAATTGATGCGTATGGAACTGCACTCAGCCGGTGGACGATTGAAATTTACAACTTTCGCCGTTACGTTATTACGGACGATTATTGGCAAGTTGCAACTTCGGCCATATATTAAATTACAAGCCATGACGATTCGCTTGAACTCGATTAACCGCGGAAGTTACAAATCCCGCGCGGATGTAGATTAATCAATCATTTAAATCCGCTCGAGCGAGTTTCGCGCGGAAGACGGCGCCGAAGCTCTCTAACGAATATAAAACTAAGACTCTCCGTGTTAACGCGCGTAATTAACGCGCAAAGAGAAAATTTATTTTATCTATATTTTAATCATTAATTCCCCCCCCCCC